GCGAATTGTGTTGACAATTGCGTGTTTTTGCTAAATAGCAACCGCTCAAGCCTCTAGTAGCGCCACTCCTGCTGGAAATTCCGCTGTGTAGTTTTTTCCAAACATAGCAATACTCTATGACAAGGTCATATACATCGAGTGTATAACGTGAAATAGAGACGTTTCATTTAATTTGTTTGAAAACTATTCTGCCAAATCATTACCGCGTTCCGATTGGCCAGCCCGAATTCAAACATATAGACGGTCGTTGTCAATTGTTTCACTTCAAATGACCAGTTTAAATTGAGCTTTGCTATAATGGACAAAAATTGCAAAATTACATATTTAATTACCGATGAAATGTGATTCCGTTTGTTTTGTAATTAGATGTGTTGCTGCTTTTCCCACACCACCGAATGGAACAGCCCCCATAGTTAGAGATATTATCTTTATTACAATAAATACAGAATATTTTTGGAATATACGGACACTGGTCAGTTGCTGGTGCTGTACTATTTCGGTTTTCTAATTTGTGATTTCACCGCAAACGAGAGTTGATATTTAAATGTGATATGGATGGATGCCCTTCATTTCGTCTCTATTTCTGGTTATATACTTGATGGTCAAATATATCCATTGTTATATGTCCTTTAAGGAATAAATACGATAATGTCAATATGAACAGCTAATATTTTGGTCTGGTAATGAAATAAATTTTGTGTGACGTAATTAGATACAGACATTTTGATCGGTACTTAGTTACCTCACTACTGCTATTCACTTTGGTAGTGTAGGTATTTTCGCTACATTTTGGTTGAGTATGAATATTTTGTAGGAAATTAAAAAATATATTCTTTTATTTTTTTATTATCGCATAATAATCATAATAATAGCGTGTCAGGCAACCACACCGAAATCCTGGTTTGAAACTAGGGGAATTCTCTATAGAAGCAGTAGCCAGAACATCCACACCAGAGCCAATGTAGAAAAGCTCATTTCCCAATTTGCTCCCAACATAATCGAACCCGGGATGTCCTCACCCAGAGTCGTTGGTACACTAAGACTGTGTGAGACACAAATGACCTCTTAATGGGTACTATGTGGTTCTATCCTACTGTATAGTATTTAGCTACTTTCAAATGTGACAAATATGTACCACGGTTCTGAGCTATTACATTATATCGACTAATTTGTAATTGTATTTGTTTCGACGACAGTCGCCATCTGAGGTCCCGGATTTGATGTGGATTCGGTTGTGTGTGTGTGTGTTATTCGATCCCCAGCAGATCAGAGCATATTCAATGTAGAAACTTGCCTTGCTGTATTGCCTCGGCTGGGTGTTTGTGGTACCATCGTTGTTTCCGAATTCCATAACACAAGTGCTTTAGTTACTTTGGAATCCGAGCAACTTATGTGATATTGTCTACTATTTATTAATTTATAATTTATTAGAACAAACGAATGAAACTCCCTCATTAAATAAATAAATAAATAAATAACGCACACACTCAACATAGCCCCGCACTAGGGAAACCCTGTGTCGCGGGTGCCATGGACACACACATAGACAACCACAAATTACACCCAAATTCACGAGAGAAATAATTGTAGGCCATACAAATATTTCTCCCGGCCCGGGAATCGAACCTGGGACCTCTGCGTGGCAGTCCGGCAATGTAACCGTTCGGCCACGGAGGCAGTTAAATTTGAACAAAAACATTGAACAAAACGTTAATATTTCAGTGTATGTTGTAACGTATTCGTTTCTACCCGAGATGTTATGAGTCAAAAGTCACTTAATTGACTCAATTGACAGCTTGACCTTTTGATTTTGCTTTCTGTTCCGTTTTGTGATGACACAGTCTTTATATTAAGCAGTAACTCGCCTTACTAGAGCGTATATGTTAATACGATTGTTCCACATTACGCTAAAGAATTCCTTCTCTACCTCTGTAAAACTTAAAAAAAAAGAGGAGGTTCTCAATTCGACTGTATTTTTTTATGTGTACCTTTGTGAACCGATTTCGATTATTCTTTTTTTGTTAGAAAGAGGGTACATCAGTTGCGGTCACATTCAAACTTGAAGAAGCGTCGTGAATTGTTTCACTTGAAATAGTCCAGTTTAACTTGAGCTTTGCTATAATGGTCGATAATTTAAAAATTACATATTTAATTACCTATGAAATGTGATTCCGTTTGTTTTTCCCACACCACCGAATGAAACAGCCCCCCGTGGTTAAAGATATTATCTTTATTACAATAAATACAGAATATTTTTGGAATATACGGAAACGTACACACAGGTCAGTTGCTGGCGCTGTACTATTTCAGCTTTCCAATTTGTGATTTCAGTGCAATCGAGAGTTGATATTTAAAAGTGATATAAGGCCCATTTGCCTGATGAGTTGCCAGGGATGGATGGCCCTTATTTCGTCTCCATTTCTGGTTATATACTCGATGTTGAGTTATACCTAAGTATATTTTGTTAAAAACTTGGATTTTGTGATTATCTTACTTATAACTTACTATAAACTTAAGTGTCGCTTAACCTCATAATATAAGTTGCATCCGCCGATGTGTAATTGCACAACGCTGCAATTTTCGAACGGCGGATAGTGTAGCAAAGCGATTAAGCGTTGCATTGAACAATAATCTATATAAATTATTTCCTTGTGATTTTTTAAGTTAATATAAAAAACATGTGTTTTCAATTATTTTTTGTGGTGCTGGGCGTTGAATTTTTTTTATCTTTATTTATTTATTTATTTCCTTTACAATATTCTTTGTGTTGGAAAAAAGAAAATACATTTACAATTACAATTAAAATCTAACATCATATCCAAATAACAAAACGAAAATAAATTAATATATTAACTAGTCATTAGTGCAAAATAATTACAATAATACAATAACAATAACGATGTCAAATTAAATGTCATCGGCATGGTTCAATACAAATTAAATGCAAAATAATAACAATAATACAATAATGTCAAATAATAATAATCAATAATAATGTCAAATTATGAATCCTTATCCTCGTTAAATACAATTTAATTTAATGTCACAACAAATTCATCAATACAATAAAATGATTTTTCCAATAAGAAACGTTTCAAACGCTTTTTGAAAGATACGTGATCTTGTACCATTTTAAGTTCACTAGGGAGACTATTATATATTTTTGTTGTTTGGTATCTAGGGCTATGCTTTATAACTTTGGTGCTATTACACCACGTCTATCCTTTCTCCTAGTAACAAGCTTGTCTGACTCGATCTCCTTGTTAAATTCAGACGAACATTCATTCACGCCTGTTAACAACTCCAAAATATAGAGACAAGGAACTGTTAATATAGATAGTTGTCTAAAATAAGATCTACACGACTCCCAATGTGGAATTCTAGCTACGGTTCTTATTGCTCTTTTCTGAAGAGTGAAGGCTTTCTTTACATTATAGTCATAGCTGTTACCCCAAAACCTGATGCTATATCTTAAATACGACTCGACTATAGCATGATAAACCATTTTTAATTCGGCGACAGAGGCTTCATCCCGCAAGGATCGAAGAGCATAGCAAGCTGAACTTATTTTATTTTCTAATTTACTAAGTTCAGGCTGCCAATTTAAATACGAGTCAATGTAAATTCCCAAAAACTTTACAGATTCTACCAATGGTATAATTTTATTTGTCATCATAATGTCCATATGTTCGTGGTTTCTAGCAGTTGTTCAGAACAATAATACGTTTGTCTTACTCGCGTTAATGACAAGATTGTTATTTTTGAACCAAAAATCGAATGTTGAAAGGACCTCATTAGTTTTGAGCTCAAGGCTTACTAAATTTTCAGCTGTTATGACAGCGTTGGTATCGTCTGCAAAAACTACTAATTTTACATTTGAGAACTTGTCTTCAATAAATTTAATTAGGTCATTGGTATAAATAATAAATAGAATTGGACCCAAAATAGAGCCCTGTGGTACGCCTCTTTTAATTTTAATTACCCTTGATTTGCACTGCACTAACTCCTCAGACTCAACACTATTGACCTCCACAAATTGGTATCTGTCTATTGTATATGTCTAGCTTGCCTAAGTGGGCGGTGAGCCAAAAGTTTTGGGAACCTATGATCTTGACGATAAATTTCTATAACGACCTGGCTCATTCCTAAGTTGCTGTGTCCTGCAGAGTTCATATGTTTTCCATGTATGCTTAATATAAGATCTGTAGCTGTGTACGTATATGATGCAATTATACATTAAGCGAACTAGCGCGCACGTTTACTACAACTTTCCACTCTTTACTGGACGCTCAAATGCAAGCTGTAAACGTTGCAACTTGTGTAGACGCGTTATGTAACGCATTGTTACAAAGAGTGTATGTTTAGTATCGCAGCGTGTACGCTCAAAACGACGCCCGACGACGAAGTGTATTTGCGCCGTAGCGTATTTGATAAGGGTTGGTTCAAACTGCGCGCAAAATCTCACCACACCACGGCAGCACAGCACCTGGGCCGCCCACTAATTACGAATAAATATCCACAAAATGCTTTTCTTATATATATATAACAATGTAAAACCATTTCAACATAATTAAGACATATGTCGTCACTTCACACAAGACTGAAATATGTGCATAACATATTAAAACTATGTATCTGTGAGGTAGCGCTGTTCATCCATCCATCTCACAACTCTGTCCGACGAGAACTTTTTCTTCTAGATTTTTGCGATTAGTTTTATACATTTTATATATTATGTAATGTTAGTCCACTTATTTAGTTTAGTTTCAGCTTTGTAGATTGTATAGTCAAGTTTTTTAAATATTATTATTATTCCTGCCACCAGGACTGCCAAGTGCAATCAACAGCACGATGAGCTTAGGCTGTTCTAATTGTAAGAGTCATTATGCCAATCATAAAAAGCTATATGTCCCGGCGACCGGCTCAAGCCAATCAATAAGTGTGGTAACCCCCTAAGTGGCATACTTCCGCACGTGATGAATTTGCGCTTAATGTTTCAGGGCGAATTCGGATCTGCAGCAAACGCTGGAAGGTACCACATCGTGTTCGCGTTCTTCGTGTCGATGATGTTTGCGATATCCCTCGGGTCACTCTTCGGTTATCACTGCTATTTAGTCGCAAACAACAGGACTACTTTAGGTTGGTATTACTATTCTGTCACGCTTGTACAAGCGTAACAAAACTAATTTACATTTTGTTAGCGTTAGCGAAAAACTTTATTTACAAAAAATATTATATATCGCACTTATGGTGAAACAAAAGTGTGAAAGTGACTCAACGATGAATAATTGTATATCATGCATTCCATCATTTTTCAATAAAGAGCGCAAACCTTATAGAAACATTTAAGAACCCTTAAATTGTGCACAGTAACCTTAAAAACCAAAAATATAACGTTTTCTGTAAACTTTTTCAAATGTACGGAAAGGAACAGTTGCACTGGAGCCGCAAGTGCGATATACACTAAATTTGAGCCACCTAGCATTCCAATTGCATATTCTTAAAGGGTTAGATTACAAAAGTATTGTTATTGTCGACGTAAAAGTTTTCCCCGTTTTTCAATTCAAATTTTCAATAAGGAAATTACATATGATAAGCCAATTACAAAATTGTATAATAGTTTTTGATCAATCATTGTTTAAGCTTAGGGCATTTAAAACTGAAAATGCAAGGTTTTTCGAATTATGTGTCCTGGAGTGCACATTCGAATTATTTGGCCATTATCCATCAAAGCGAGAACAGGAGAGATCTCAACAATAAGTAAACGAAGATTTAGGGCGCCTTCAAATAAACGCTTATAGAAAGGCTGCAGTGGTACTACTATGGCGCTGCAACGTCATGACACTTGCTGTCACAATTATTGAGGCGCTACAGTCGCGCGGCTGCTGCGCCACTGCGTTGCTTCTACAAGCCTTTAAATAAATCTCGTTTCTCCTGCATTTTGGTAGACCATTGACCTCAGCCGAAACACCAATGTAGTGACAGCAAACGGCCACACAATAATCTATAAATAACTACATGGTATAAGCAGGTCTTATGAAACCGGTTTTGTTAAGGCTACCTTGTGTCAGCTTATACTGGTAATGTATAATTGATTGCTGTGAAGTGCGTATAATGCGTGGGTTTGTAAGTTGTTAACCGCTGAGGGTTTGTAAGTTCGATATTCAAGTTACAGTGCCTGTATGCATTCATCTCGTCTGTTCTAGTTAGGTAGGACCCGTTTAAGTGTAGTACTTTTACTTACTGCGCAAGGCTTAAATTGCTTGTAAGTTTGACCGTGGTACCATTCGCTTATAAATTGAACCGGGGCAATTCGACTTTCCTGTCCACCTTGTTGTTTTAGAACTTATATTTGTGCGTATTCGTAATATCTTGCCGAAGTAATAATAAGAAATGTTAATGAAAACGATTGTAACCATACATACTTTTTAAGCAAATACTATGTGGTGTACACAGACTTGACACCAATAGATGGACCGTACAATTTGTGTAAATTCAGGTTGCATTTTTCATAGATAGAATATCGATAAACGTCACATGTGTGCGTCTCTCACATGCTAGGTCTGTTTTCACCTATAAAGGTGATATAGTATAATCTAGTAGTAGGTGGTATAATCTATAAAGGTTGTCTGTGATTTAAAATTGCTTTGAAATGTTTTTTCTCTTACGTTCAACTTAAACTGTTTTTAACATTCAAGTATACTGTAGATGTAAATAGTAGTTTAGCACTAGAAGTGATGATGTTGAATGCTCGGGCACTGCAGAGTCGTTCTTTTCGCAGATATGTTAAGAGACACGCGAGAAAAAAGGAAACAACTTAACAGACAGCTCTTCAACCACATCACTTCAATATCTCATTTCAGACGTAAGCAAGTCGAAAATGTTCGTCTTGTTAGAGTATTACTTTGTCGGTTGAAGATTAGATACTGCAAATAGTTGAAACGAAGTTTGTTATTGTTGATCAACCCTTGTACATCACGGTATACATAGAAAAATGTTGACTTAAATCAAGTTAGCCTGTCAAGATATTTGGTGGAATCAGTCACAACATGATTTAAAAAATTTTAAATGGTTGCTGCAATCATTAAAATTTTTGATGTAATCATTGTGTTTGCTAGCCTTAGAATACGTTACAAGGAAACAAGTTATAAGACCGCCTTAAACAACATCTTGTTTATTCCAATCACGTTGTTTTACCAGTGCATATTCTAGTAAGTAAATTAAACTGACAAGTAGAAGAATCGTCATAGACAATCATAGCATGGTATAATAATACAAGTATGGTAATTCAGTACATATGTAGCAGCTTGTCTTGTATGCGTGTTCGCGTTGCATACCACTGATCGTCTCACGCACCTTTCAAAATTTAAACCACTTGACGCCATGTGGGAAAAATAAACTAGGAAACTACTAAACCACTTTCGGTAATTAAAATTGTACTTTGAAACTTTAGGTTAGTAGTCTAGCGTGCAACCGCACTAAGAGCATTGAGTCTCTCAAGCGGCCTTTGTTCTCTACAGATACTTTTCGAATGACTGCAGTTTGTAAATAAGACATTATTGTTTTTGGTAAAAGCTGTCATAAATGTCCCGGCAACACAATCAGCAATGCAGCCGGAAAGCCGTGATGGTGTAATAAGTAATTTAATTGACATTCATTCATCCCAATTTATGCGTAATACTAGCGGGAATTGGCATGGGAAACTATTTTTTTCGGACTTACAAATACACCCCACTACAAATTTCTTTATTGTTTTGTTTTCAACTGATAGAAATCCGAGACGGCCAAAACACAAAAATCGTTTATAGATAAAATGGTTGTGTTTTTAACCGACTTCAAAAAAGGAGGAGGTTCTCAATTCGTCTGTATGTTTTTTTGTATGTATGTTACGCGATAACGCCGGTATTTGTGAACCGATTTTCATGATTCTTTTTTTGTTGGAAAGGGGGTACTTCCATAGTGGTCCCATTTCATTTTGAAGAAAATCATCCACCTCAAAGGATGGCTGTTCACGCATGAAGATTCATTTTTATAAATAGCGCCTAACTTTAATTTAGGAGCAATTACTTTAATGGTTGATTTTGCTATTTCTCCAATTCAAGGCGTTTTTCTCTCAATATACTTTGAGTAGTGAGAACCGATTTTTATTATCTCTAGTGTCAAGTCCTGTATAGTGGCAAACTAGGGGATATTTCAATAAAACTTAGCAAATAGACGTAATTCCACGTACTTTTGAGGTCGGTTTTTTTAGTACTCTGTACTGATCATGTATATTTGTCTTTTCAAACTCATCAAAAAAGATCCGAAAAAAAATGTTGTATCTAATTTGTAGCAATCGTGAAAACCTAAGAATTCGGTATTTGTTTGTTATTGTCTATTATAGCTAAAAAGCTATATGTCATTAGTAAAAAATAATTTCACGACACTGCTGCCATTTGATATTTGTCCCGTGGCTACTGCCGTATGTTATCAAAGTCAAAGAATCGTTTATTCCATAGATAAAATAAGTTTACATTTGAAAACGTCACATTTAAGCTACTGCTTGTTCACTACGCTCACTTCCCTGAGAAAAACGGGCAAGATACTAGGGATTGCTCTTTTCAAATAAACTTAAATGCTATCGAATACACTTTGAATCGAATTTGTGTGGAATTTAGAGCCATATCGTCTTTCCATACATTTTTATCTAACACGTAGTCTTCAAAATTGTAATACGACTTTTCAATCGAAATATTTTTTATGTAGTTTTTAAACTTAGGAAATTATAATGTTAATATATGCTCCGGAATCTTATTGCAAAAACGTATACAGGTCCCCATAAAAAAGTTGTTTACCTTGGTTAAACGAAATCGTGGTGCCATGAGTTTGGACTTATCTCTAAGGTTAATATTATAATTGTGGATATCCTCTTTCTTATTGAAATTATGTAAATTTTTACGGGCATATAAAATATTTGAGTAAATGTACTGTGATGCCACAGTCATGATACCAGTCTCCCTAAACTTTTCTCTGAGAGAAACCCGAGAACGAATCGCTCGTTTTTAACCGACTTCAAAAAAAGGAGGAGGTTCTCAATTCGACTGTATGTCTTTTTTCTTTTTTTTTGTATGTATGTTACGCGATAACTCAGGTATTTTTGCAATACAAATATGGTTTGAATGTCCCGCCGCGGCTTCTCCCATTTCGAACTTAGTTACTTTGCGATTGTACGGTTCATGCGGTCACAAGATACGTTCACACTAGATCACCATTGTTGTGGCGATTCGCGACCCTGCGTATTTGACATACCCATTAGTTTTCATAGGGGTAACCCTATGAAAACTAATGGGTAGTGCGTAAGCACGGCATTTACACTTTACCATGCGGCGCGACAGCTGCGTGTAAATTTTAGTTACAGTGACTTCAGTGAATCACCGTATGAGAACCGCCTTGAACGGCGTAGATAATTGAGTAATTAAATTGCTAAAGCAAGCAGTAAAATGGTATTGAACAAAAACGATGATATTGGCGATTATATCATATATGTTATAAGGTCGCGTAGGTAGAGGACGTGGAAATCTAGAATAGAGCTAGCATTTAGTGAACTAAGTAACACAAAGCGCCGAGCATCCGAGACTAAAAGCGAATATTGCTTTCAGATGCGCTTGAAAATTACCAAGGCCGTTGCTGTACCCCAGGGAAAAGGGTCATAGCACATGCTATCAAGCAGTTGACCGAGGGTAAACTGCAGTCATTTGACAAAAAAATCTGTAGATCGTTTAAACCATATGTTGTGTTAAATTTGTATTGAATTGATATTCAATTATTTTTTGTAAAATTGCTCTACTAGTTTGTTATAATTATTAATACAAAGATCGACACGTAGAAAAAATTCTTATAATCCGGCCGGATTCGAGTCGACGTCGCCTAGCAAACCGTGCCAAACATTATGCCAACTAAGCCACGAAACGAACCAGCGGATCTCACGAATTTTTCTATGTGCTTATTGACGGATCTTTTGTATTTGGTTTTCAACGACTTGTTAACCAACTATGAGAAATCTATGAAAGTGTTAGCTTGTTGGCCTACTCACTGGTTTGTTTGGAGACTCTTTCCTATCAATCGGGTTTGATTTAGGCACAGATGAAGAATTAATTTTTAGGTACCAAGTGATGAAAACTTGCTCATATATTTTTCATAATGCAGATAATGTCTTATCTTGGTTTATAGGTACGGTTGCGTAGGTGAACCCCTTTGGAAAAACAGGTCTTTGTCAGTGGAGGGATTTTACATTAAATAGTAATGGTACCGATGATGACATGGAAATTGTTCTTGATCCTTGGTACTTCGGTATAAATAATAATAATATGTTTATTTCTCCACAAAAACACCTTCAGAAGGTTCTCAGTAATTTAAGAAATATTAACAGCTTTTTGTAGGAGCTGGTGCATGTTAAAGGCTTAACACCTGTACTACAAAGTCACCAGGCCCTCACCCTTGGGAATAATACATACTATATTATGGCATTACTAAGAAAATATTAAACACTGTAAGAGAGAAACAAAATATGAAAAATATAAAAGTAAAGAATTTTTACACTTATACACTATTGAACTTTAGATAGATGAATTTAATTATAAATTGTACTTTTAAACTGAAAGTAAAACTTAAATTTAAAATGAGTTTATGTGGACAGGCGTGCGTGCGTGCGTGCGTGCGTGCGTGCGTGCGTGCGTGCGTGTGTTTTTGTGTCGCGCGTGTGTGTGCTTGTATCTGCCTGCGTGTGTTTGTGTGTGTATGTATGTGCGGGTGTGCGTGTGTATATGCACGTATAAATATATGGTATCCCCACAGATGCAAAACCTTGAGTCACACTATTGGATGAAGCATAGCTTCAGTATCCTCATAATTTAACTTTTGCAACCAGTTCGCCAACTTCTTTTCACATTCAAATTCATTTAAACCAAGGATGTTAAGTTCGCCATGCAATCTATTATATAGAAAACATCCCAGGAAGCAGAAGAATCCATGACTGAATGCAGTTCTGAAACGGTCGCAAGAAGATAATAAGCAATGTCGTCTATTAGAGGCACTGTCATAGGGTGTGAGGGAATGTTGCTTCGACTATCGAAATATCTGTCGAACAATCAGGACCTGACAGTAAGCGTAAAGTTCACTTGTTGGAAACCGGTAGGGTTTGAAGCAGGCAACCTTTAGGATAACTCTATGTGCTCTCTCTCTACAAAGCAAATGATAAAATGAGGCAGATGATGCGAATTTTAATAACATTTTAGTGGATCGAACTTATAGAGAGGACGAATGTAAGAAGATTGAAGAAACAGTACAGTTTTAGTAGCAGTGGAGCTCCTTGTGAATGACTTCGTCCAGGGCAGTACTGCCAACTTACCTATTTCTGTATGGGTAAGGGTACTGGCGAAAGTACTGGCACATGGGATTTGTCAACTTAGTATGTGTCAGGGTGACGGGCGTGGAGGCCAGACCCCTCAGATCTTTGCAATTTAAAGGACACACGTGTCGTGTAATACCAAGTACACGACTTGTTCGTGCCGTCACTTCGTATCATAACAAAAAACAGATTTAGAATGCGACTGTGAGTGGGCTAGTTGATAGGGGTCGATCAAAGCGAACTCGCCACGACCTAATTGTGGACGTCCTATAGAAAGGCCAGGCTAAGAGTACCTTTAATAGACGAGCGTGTGTGAAAACACTGATGCGTGTTGATAAGACGAAAGATGTATGTCGGAATCGTAGCAATTGGAATACTGGGGTCTCAGCCTGCCCCGATGGGATTTGAATGTGTATATACACACCATCAAGGTATTTAAAAACATATTTGATTGCCCTATCAAAATTAAATAAAAATGTCTATATAAATTAATTACTAGTTTTTAAAATTATGAAATGTGCAACCAAAAACCAACGGTGTTGAAAACAATTTAATTGAAAAAAACTTGATTATCAGTGATTGGGCAAAATGTGCTTGATCCCTAGATACTTTTGATGTGTGCAAGTAGCCTATTTATACTAGGAAGTAAGACAATAATTGATAATAGTATGTACAATCACAGGCATATGGGACTTGTCAACTTATACCTCAGAGTGAAGGGTGCAGTGCCCCTCAAATCTTTGCGATTCAAACCTCTGAATGGCACTACAACTGCTATGGACAGGCGTGATTTATGTTACATTTGTAAACATTTCACACACTTATTTAGCTGTAGTTATTTTGAGTTCATTTTGGTTAATATTTATTTTGTTTTTTGTTTTCGAGTAGTCTGTTATACATCAATAGTGTTTGTTGCTTTTTAAAAAAATCTAAGAAAGTTATCGACTAAACTTAATTATTTGTAATTATTAAAAGCTTAAGGTTTTTTCCAAACCGGTCAAGCGTATGTCAAAATTCCTCAATCAATATTTTATACATACGCAATTTACGCGTGTGCATTTCAACGATTTCACACTTCTGTTGTTCTGTGCTTAGTAGTGAGGAATGGGTAACATGCAAAATGATGTTGTCCTACTTTGCAATAGAAACTACATCAATATGGCGTAAGCCAGGGTTGCAATATTTCATTTTGAAACGTTTGATGATCAAAAATGCAAAGCCATTATAAAAATATCCCATTGATTGATTCAGCAGCTGAATAATGAAGGAAAATAAAGAGATTTGTTATTTTATGCGAACTCTTTTTGGAATTGCAGAAGCCTTCAGAGCGCCCATGTTCCGCGGCGGAGCAGACAAGAATGGTTTCTCTATGGGCGTGTACAATAACTTCAAAGAGGTTTTCGGCAACAGTCCGAACCTTTGGATGGTACCAGTATTTACCAGGTATTTATTTATTTACTTCTCTTGATAAATATAGTTAACAGTAGAATCCCAATTAAATATATTTCTGAAGATTAATTTGTGATAAGCGACAGGCTAGAATTGTCCGAATACTCGAAATGCTTAGTTTAATGTTATCTTGTACAGGTAATAAATAAACCAAATATATGAACTGATCACGTAACGCTGAAGTACGAAGTATTAACAAATCAAAAAGTAGAAATCTAGAACATATTTATAAAAACATTAAAATAGAGCACGTATGCAAAAACGAATACATGCATGGAAATAACACATGTGTGCGTGCTTAGTGTGGTCCGGTGTGCATGTCTATTAAGATGTGTGAAAAAAAGAAGTGAATGACTTAACTTGTGTGCTTACTGTACAATATACGAAACAGTGTAGCGTGGTACACGGATCTACGTTTCCTGGTCGTCTTTTCTTTCATTGGTCCCGTTATCGAATGAACTGCCAATAATCTCAGAGCTTTCGTAAACGAATAACGTATATATCGATGGGTCCTAAGTATAAGGGCCAAACTAACAATTTCATCATTTTCACTTTTTTGTGGAAAGTGCTTCATTTCATTAGAAATGAAATTTAATTATAAAATGAAGCATTTCCCACAAAAAAGTGAAAATGATCAAATTGTTAGTTTGGCCCCTATACTTAGGACCCATCGATATATTGTTTGTGAAAAAAAACGTGAATTTTATATAATAATGTATCTTAATTTTCTCTCTTTGTTTCAAGAGCATTGTCACAAAATGCTACGCCGCCGCTCCATACATATATGTATATATAATTATTCAGTAAAGTAGAGAGAGAATTGAAGCAGCTCTCTCTACCAATTGATATATTCCCTCGATAAAGAAAAACCAGAACGCTGTTACAACCGCGAACTTTTGGTCACACAGTGTTTAATTTTTTTTACAAGGAATCGTAAACCGTGTACCTTCTCGTCGAGATTGCACCTTTACGTTACAATGATATTTAATTTAATTTTTGTTTCATAGCTGTAAAATTATAAAACTTTTTTTTTACAACAAGGTCAAATCCGATGATTAAGCTCAAATTTCACTAACGACAAAAAACAAGTTAAAATTAATTTTGTAGTATTTTTTATAAACATTAGAAACGTGTTCGTCACGTAGTTACCGTATATTACGCATTCCAGTAAATCGAATTAAATTTTATTGTTATTGAGAGGGCAATCTTCTGTCTCTGTAATGGTAAGTACTATAGCTTGGAAAAGGACATGTAATTCACACGAGAAAGGGTGTCAGGAGTCTCTTTAAAATAAATACTTAAGACAGTTTCTACACTGGTATCCACAGAGATTTTCTCAAGTAGCCCTTAAAAACAGAGCACCAAAGTTCAATTTTCCATAAAAAACTGAAATTGTTGTATGAAATGCTTTCATTCCATAGCTAATTTTTCACCGTTAACGGGATATGAACTTGTACACGAAACGTTTATTGTATATTATTATATATGTTTATCGTATATATATGTTTATCGTTGCAATATGCACCGAACAAAAACAAACGAAGTTTTCCTAGATTACTACTGCCGTTACTAACAGTATGGGAAGTCAAAATACCTTTATCCTATTTCAAAACATTTCTTCTTTATTTTGTTACAATTGGCCTTAGACACTACAATATGTATGCTGAAGTCTAAATATAAATGAATGAATATACTATCCACGGCTCTGCGACACGGAGGCTACAATACTTTAAGTATTGTAGATAGGATATTTTGCTTCATAAAGACATTATTTTATTTTTTAAATAGGTATAATACTGTAATACTGCATCCAAAGATTTTAAAAGATTTGAACATAGTATCTAAAGGGGTCTACAAACCGAACCCGCCGACCGGGCGACACAGCCCGGCCGGTGGCTTGTCGTCGGTGGCCTTTCTAATCTAATCCTATGATATGATCACCATTCGATTATACAATTTATTAAAAATTAAACCAGTATCGTATTTTGACACCAGTGTATAAACTTTCTGTAAGTTTAGAAGGGATTTAAAAAAAATTACATGCTATTCTTGTCGACCTGTTACTAACTCTATCACATATTTGGAAGTTTGATTTCAATGGGCCAAGTCAATGACCGTGTAAGAGGGAGTTTTACCACAGTCATCGACCCAAAACCGACATGAGCATTAGGTCAGAAAAACCTTTGTGTCAAGCAATAAGAGTGAAAGAAAGTGGTGTGTTTCGCTTTGCCTCGAGTTGCCGAAGCGAAACGCACGTGTTGTTGCTCTTCTTGCATGTACATAAAGTTTTTTGATCAGCTCAAGCCGATTCTGCGTCAGTAAGTGTGGTGTCTTCCTTGGTAATATAAAGATATGAGCATGAGAACATAATTATAGTAATACGCTTGGATTTGTTCTGTCTACTACAAAAGGCTCTTACGTTAGAAGCATTTATTTTATGTATTTATTTTATATGCATATTTATTGACATGACTTCATGCATTATGCAGTCATATACATGAGATACCTGACCCCCTAACAAGCCCAAACCGACCTTTGATTTTGTGACCCCTCTTACGAATTGAACAAAGAAAATTAACGCAATTTCAACTTCATTTAGTAAGCGATACAGTGGAGTGTTGCTTATACAGTAGATGATAAACATATTTTTAAAAGCAATTCTAGATTTCGTCATTTAACATCCAAGTAAATTGGTCGAGCTGCTTATTGTATGGACTTCCAGTTACAATACCCGTGGTTCGATTTCACGAGTACTATTTTGTTTTAACGTTATATTTTTGACTGCATTGTTTCACTTTTTAATGTTAACGTTGACAAATCACAATATTTGCTCACTACAAATTGCCTAAGGTGGGTGGATATTATTAATAAAGCGTAGGGTTATGGATAGATCAACAAATCACGTAATCGCTCTGCAGTTTACATACGATCATGTCTTCTATGATTATGCATTGTTCCATTTTTCGTTCCTTGCTTTAATATGTAGCACTTAACGGAATTATAAAATTAGAAATTATTGTCCTGTATAAACAAGACTTAGTCATTCCTTACACCTATTGAGATGTTAAAACAAATCAAATACAATATTATACAGTCTTAGCCATGTCATAGCTAAATAATATTTTATTTTTAATGTGACTCAAACCATGATTGCCTCAACTTGCAAAGCAATCCTTATCCCGTTAGGCCACGACGGCCTTACTATAGCTGGTTGAAATTTGTATTCTGTATTTAAGTAAGAACTATACGTTAAAGATCAAATTGGCTTAAAAACCTTCTTACAATGTCATTCACTAATGAGACGATCACGTAGTCGTACCAAAATAAATTTTACGGCTCACAGGTGAAAGATTTAGTTTGTTTAACAATTTTCTCCACACTTTTGTGCTCAGAACCAAAAGGTCAACAAAGTCGGCTTGGGGGATCAGGTATCTTGTGTATATAACTGTACGTAATTTTAAATATTATTGAACCTTAGAACAATCAAATCCTGTCTATCTTTGACCGAGGACAACAAGGGTAACATTGATGTTAATAATTTCTATAGGTAATGTTTTTTACGATCTGTAATACTGTACTGTATATACTACACATCGAGCTAGAAAAAGACGATAGGTTGATTTCGACTTTGTAGACCGTCGCGCAGCGTCTCTGTTTATTATACCTGTTAGACGTTGTTGTCGCTGATTTATCGGTCGTCGAAACGGCGCTTTACAAATCCGAAGGTAGCCGATAACGACCGATAATCTCTATCGATAATCTAAAGCTCGACGCGTAATATTTACGGCCTGATATTGGTAGATTATTTCTTTTGAAGTAAACAATATTCTTTAAAAAATTTCACGTAGTATTTTTTGACATAAACGTTTTTAAAACCTTTTAAACTTATTGCATGGTCATGATACTTTTTTGGCCGGCTCAAACCGGCTCCTGAGTCGAAGTGTAGGGACCCCGATGAGAGTAATTCGTCACCACGGTCACTAATGACCTTGACACGCCCTTCAGTGGCTTTCTTAAAATTGTATTGGTTCTGTCCTTTGAACTTAATACTTAAACTATAATAAATATACTGTAAATGGAGACTGTATCATTGGTCAACAAGACCAAAGCAACGAACCGGTGCAGTAAAATCCTTTTCGGGAAATCCGGAATTCGAAAAAAGTAATTAATTAATATTTGGTGGCTTTAACCACTCCATGTCACTCCCTGTATCTACATGTAGACATTTATCTACTCATTTGGAACAGCCTGTTCCGACCTTTGGTGGTCACACACGCAATATTTAATAATATATATAAATCACATATCTGATGCTTCCTGCCACTTAAACCAATTTTCATTTATATGTATTCATTTGTATTTAAACCATTTTATTTACACTTCCTCATTTCAACTCATATTGGGAGAAGCTGTTGTAGTTTGGTAAAGTGATTGTGACGTGACTTCATTTGATTTCAAGGGATTGGGTGCTTTAATAGCATGACACGTTTATTTAACCAACAACAATGATCTCTTAGGGTGTTCGTAATTCTATTAGGATGTCTAGACACTGCGTAAGGGCTCGTGCAGCGTGCCGACGATATGTCGCGACTGCGGTCGCATCGACTCGCAACGACTTCTAACGACGAAATACAGTGCAGCATGCGGACGACTAGCGACTTAACACTACCGACAACCGACCGATAGCTTAGTGAATTTTCGAATAATTATCGTATCTACGGGAAAAATGGATATAGTATCAGAACTTTCTTATTGGGAAATTCTGTTTTACGGATCCGTGCCATAGAAAGGATAAGAAGAAGGACATTTAACATTCAATTTATCAATTAAACTGCCTCTGTGGCCGAGTGGTTACCATGCCGGACTGCCACGCAGAGGTCCCAGGTTCGATTCCCGGGCCGGGAGAAATATTTGTATGGCCTACATTTATTTCTCTCGTGAGTTTGGGTGTAATTTGTGGTTGTCTATGTGTGTCCATGGCACCCGCGACACAGGGTTTCAGTAGTGCGGGGCTATGTTGAGTGTGTGCGTTATTATTTATTATTATTATTCATCCAATTAATATTCTGCGGCGATTACGAACTGCATCAATTAATCTATCTGGGTCCATTATTATAATTGTAATTACTTATGTAATAATGTTCCTATTACATTAATTAATTGACTTGCGACGACTGATCGCTGCAAGTCTCACGACCAATGGTCGCCGGTCGCGGGCACGCTGTATTAAGCCATTTAGTTCTACGTGTTAAAACAAGTCGCAGCGAGTCGGTGCGACCGCAGTCGCAAAATATCGCCGGCACGCTGCACGAGCCCTAACCTTTACCACTCTGATGTACAAATTGATTAAAGAACAATACTAGAAGAGCACGAACTAGAACGTCTTTCTTTGAGGGTAGATTAGCGGTTACCAATTGCCTGTTAAGATGAACAGTTATGCATATGAAATGATACTATTTTATCGGATCGAAATCTCATATATTTGTTTTTTCAAACAAACCAACGTTCAGGGCCCTTTGTGGGGTCTCATAATTAGTGATTTCACCGTTTAATCAGCCGTGACCATGGGACCTGTAAAGGGCCCGAAACGTTGGTTTGTTTGAAAGGAAACAAATATACTCAATTTACTTATATCCGAAATTATATTTCTATATGTGTAACAATCGAAGAAACCTAAGAACTCGAAGAAATAACTGTTATGATTAATTCAATTTTTTTTAAGAAACCTATAGCTAGCAGCGGACCAGTGTGGGTTCCCACAGGCGATAGACACACGGTATGGGTTACAAACCCAATAAAGAAGTTTAAGTTGATTGGATAAAAAATAAATTGCAATATAAATTATAGCTTTAATTTCTCATTACAAGTAGGCCAATTGTACACTAATTTCATTTTGAATTGATAACTATCAAATAAATCAAGTTATTCGTTTAGTGATCTAATGATCACGCAAATTAATGGTGTAACCATTGACTTACAATTATATGGACGTCGGGTCCGCGCTAAAAAGTGTCCGTACTTATAGGGCGTTAAAATCGGATACATAGCGTCATTCACGGTTTAGTCTTCGTTTGTTCGACTGACAGCGAAGCAAGCAAAATTAGACAGTACTGCGATGACATTACAATTTAAATTCACCGTTTTAGCTTTTTCATATTCCTTTACATGTCACTACGATTAAATAGGTTGACTTGGGACATTTTTTTCGTGGTTTTTGTATTAGACCCGTCGTCCATTTATTTGTAAGTCAATGGGTGTAACGATCATTATGTTTATTTTCTGTCTGGACACCGCTATAGATGCGCGGCACTAGTTAACTAACTATAGCGTAACACAAGCCTCACATCATGATTATATTCTAAGGGTCGTATTCCAGAACTCTACTCAACGCTCAAGTCAGGATTTGAGCAGACTTGAGTATGATTTAAAGCACTGGAAATACGACCCTAATGGCAAGGATGAGTATGATTTCTAGTGCTTTGAATCATACTCTAGTCCTGACTTGTGTATTGAATAGAGTTCTAGAATACGACCCTAATAGCCTCTTTCACTGCTTCATGACGTGCTTGATAGGTTATCGGGCAGATAACAGCAAGTGGTCAAAGGGGCACTACGGCTGCTCCAGAACAAAACCTAGTAAAGGACAAATTTTTAACCGAATTCTACTCCCATAGTAAGCACTCCCCTAATTGCGTTGACAGCCGCTTCAAAATTCTTCTAAATGTTGTAAGTCTCTTTAACCAATTCAAAACTTGGCAAGTATTTGAGACTTGCTTGGTTTTAAACTAATTACAGCGCCTGATTAAGTTTGATTAGCAATTAGTAGATAATGAACTTTAGTGATATTGAAAATCTTAGTCGTTTTCATTAATTTAATATGTCAACTAAAATCAAATTTTATTCCAAATTTTCTAATGCAATAACTAAACCACCTAACTAGCAAATGCTTATACTGCGCCTTGATTCTCGCTGCAACAGTAACTTTACTTATTTACATGAATATTCAATATTAGTAAGGATATAAAATACATATAATATAATATAATACGATATATAAGTTGCGATCGTTTTTGTGACATCAATATAATCGTTGATTGATACCTTAACTTTTTTAGCATTATCAGGTAACATCGAGTGTGTAACCAGAAATAGAGACGAAATGTCATTTAATTTGTTTGAAAACTATTCTGCCATATCATTACTGTGACAACTGTGCTCCTATTGGCCAGCCCGAATTCGAAACAATTGACGGGTGTCGTCAATTATTTCACTTCAAATCGACCAGTTAACTTGAGCTTCGCCATAATGGACGAAAATATATCTTTACGCTTTATAATTAGATATTTTGCTGTTTTTCCCCACACCACCGAATGGAACAGCACGCCATTGTTAGAGATATCATTTTTATTACAATAAATACAAAATATTTTTGGAATATACGGAGACATGCACACAGGTCAGTTGTTGGCGCTGTCTATATTTCAGTGCAAACGAGAGTAGATATTTATAAGTGATATCAGAACCATTTGACTGATGTCTCTATCTGGTTATATACTCGATGTCAGGTAAATTGTTTAAGGGCGACCTGGATTTGTGTTTTTGGGCTCTACTGTACAAATTTGTCTAAAGAACTTACTAGGTTTTGTTACGGGGCAGCAGATTAAATCCTTGTATGCCTTAACCGCGTCCGCTGAATTGGTCACCCTTCTTACAATGGTCGTTTTGTCAGCCTGGGCAACGGGTGTGATTTCCCGGTGCGTCGCGAGCACCAGCTGCAGACGTTCACAACTCAAGAGGCCCATGGCTACGAGTCCATGGGCACCACGCGTTCAAGGTCAGATAAAGTCGGAATTCAGTCCACCGTTACTGTGAACATACCTTGAGATGTTACGTGATAATAGACTTTTATAAGCGTAGGCGCTTACGAAACTCGTGTTACAGTCATTACGATTTATACTTTTCCATCTCTTTTTCAGTTACTATGTAAAGGAAATTGAATGTAACTATGGTGGTACCATAAATTGTTGACACGATATCATGTGTTACGAACCTGAATTAATTGTTACAATTAATTTCAATTTTTCCCATAATATGTAAAGACTGGTTGTTGCGACAGCCTTGAAACGAGCATGATTGTACAATGGCATTTTATAAATAAGCGTAGGAGCCTAGCTTACTATGGACTACAACAAACGAAAATAACTAATCGCCATCTACATTTTTGAAAGCGTCTTAGAGAGTATGTATAAGAAATCCTATGCATGGTATCTTTGAATATTTTTTTACAAACCTACTTTGCTCAACGTATTTATAATTATTAATCACTTAATAAAGTACTTTGCTATACACGTGTGAAATGTGGAATAAATTTGTAATTTTTCTTATAACGCGTTAAATGTACTTGTGCAAAGGTGTATTGAAAATGCTTTAAAGTCTATGTACCGCAACGCTCAAGTTATGTGGCAGATGGTCGGGTGAAGTTGGACGTATAAATGTTATTGTAATAACAATTTTGTAATCAACGAAAATACGATGCGTACAGATGTCCCAGGGACTCTGTGCAATGTTGCATACTGCTTTTTAATGCATTTATTATTTCTGAGCTATATACAACACACAAGACTGATAAAGATTTACTAGCGAAAACCTATATTGTACTTTGTATGTTTTGTGCACAATAAACTTTTTTCTCTTGAGTTTTGGTTTTTTATTTTTTATTTATCATAGATGTTATAGGCCAAGTGATTAATCGGCGTTGTAAATAATGAAAGGGTAGTTTGAATAATGACAACAAGAATTGGGCAAGGGAATGGATAATAATATCAATTTCATAGGTTATCGCAATCATTGGGGCCTATTTATTCGACACGAATTTCATCCCGGTCGAAGAGCGGAGTCCGCGTTGCCGCCGCGCAGCGACCGCGTGCGTCTAACTGTCACGGCAAAATACACTCTATTTATTTAGCTTTTACGTTTTAACTTAAATGATCGTCACGGGCGCGCGGGCGAACCTGGCTTGAATTTGGTCTATGTGGCGGTACCGCGCAGTCGCCGCGCGGTTGTATTATTCAGAGGGATTGAAATGTTGTTGCCTAGAAAATTGAATTCAGATTTGTACACGAAGGTGTGGTGTGGTGGTGGCGGCTCGGCGACAGCGCGAAAACTGTCTCCTCATGTAACTGAGCGATTAAGGTTATCAAATATTGCCTTGTTTCAGTTTTAATTATTATCCAACCGACCTTAATATTTTGTGTGTTAATTTTAACACACTCCCGACATACTACACATTGTTCAAGCCAGCTTGCATTTTCAATATGAAATACCCTAGCTTACAAAATGTTTCATTGATTTAAAACTATCAAAACTACCATGCAAAGAGACGTTTCTGTGTGTCCATGTTTAAAATTTGAATTTTTTTTATACTGGGGAGAGTTTTTGTTTTCGATCATAACAATATTCATGTTCTATAATTTAAAAGAAAAATGCAAGGCTGCTCGAATTTAGAGTCCGAGAAATAACTCTGTATAAAATTCATTTAGTTGTTTTATTTTGCAATTTTGTTGTCATTGTTTGTTGTATTGTTTGCTTATGTTCGGCATTTTATCAAATGCCTGGGCGTATTAATGACGGTTAATCACTGGTCTATAAAATAATGCTAAATGTTGCTATTGCTTAGTGAAGCCTAGCCAGATTAGCAAGCAAAAGGATACGAAATATACACCTGTTGGTAAACAATTTCATCATATCAATATTTTATGGACACGTCTGTGTGCTGTATATTTATATGGATTATATAATATTGCTTTCTACACTTTAACTCTCTCAGTCTTTACTTTTTTATTTTATTTATATTTTGGTTATTTAGGTTCTACAGATTACGTGTTACTGATTTCAAGACTTTCATGGGTATTTACTTTAGCCAGTAGATGCAGGTTTATTATTCGTAATTTATTTATGACGTAATGTTCTTCCGATACATAATATCGCTGCCAAATTTTAAGCTGCCGATTGGCTTTCAGTTTTAATGTTATATATAAGACTAAAAAAAGTACGCCGCATTGATTTATGATTCATTGATGATGGTCTTTTACATTATATGCTATAATTTTTTAGTTCCAAATTTTGTCACTAGTGGCTCTGTATTAAAACAGAAATGGCGTTTCATACCGGTTTTATGTAACAACTTTTTTAAAGTTAAATTTTTCTTTACTACTTTCTAGCCATGGAGCAAAGACGCAAATAGGCAAGCTCTTTTAAATAAATTAAAAAAAAAAAGCCACTTAAATAAATTGAATTTAATTATTTTTGTAAAATAATAAAGCTCTCTGCAAAACAACTAATTATTAATAAATTTACATTATCATATTTTGTATTGATCAAATAAATTTATTACTTCAGACCAATCTTCAAAGGGAGAACTTGATTTTCCGCCACAAATAATGTTTTCGGGATTTCTAAAATTACCTCTTTGGTTCGTGGTTTAAATTGTAGTTATAAAAAATTTACTCATGTTCGAGAATAACGTGAAAGTCTTCGGAAATAACCAACTTGGTAAAATTATCTATAAACTATTGCAAACCAAATCTGTAGCACCTGAAAATGTTTCGAATATACTTCAAAATTATGTATATTATATATACATATATACAAGATTATTTGTAAAATACTTACAACTATATTACCAACATCATAAACAACCACTTTTTTCCATGAAAACAAAAGTGATTACTAAAAATGAACTTTTAAGTTTTTGTTGTATCTGACACTTTTTATATTTGTATTTTTAGCAACGCCTCCTGCGTGAAATTATTCATGAAAATAATTTTAGTGGTGGGTGCTTTCTTTTGCTACCGCACGAGTTGTTACCATTTAGAACGATTTATTTAAATATTTTTATTTCTGTACGAAAGTGAAATTTAATGAATTATTAAAAGTCATTGAACAAAAGTTGCTGTTTTATGATGTTAGTAATACAGTACTGCGAGGTTGTTAGTACTTAACAAATAACCATCAAAATTGAGAAAATCAAAATTGAGTCGATCGAATGTTATTGTTACAATTTTAGCGTGGAGTTGGGACACGAGACTGAGAGTTGGAGACTGTGCCCACGCAAGGGCCGCACCGCCCCGCAAATTGTATAAGGATAAATCGCATTTTATAATTTTATTTCAAGTTTACTATACATAGTACTTTATTACGTAAATTTTCCATTTCACAAATATTATCACAAGTTTGAAATAAATATTTTTAACTAATCAAACATGCTTTTCATTCATTGGCGTGGTCATCGTTTTCGGATATATCTATTCCAAATTTTATGTCATTCACTTCTTTTTAAATTTTCAATTCAAAACAACTTCGTTAGTGATTTAAAATTTATAAGTGTCCCTTTGCATGCTAATTTTGTTTTAGCGCCTAAATGTTTTCGCTCAGGTTTTATTTAACGTAGTCACGTAGTTAATGTAGAGTACTAGGCGAACAAGTAGATATATGCTGTAGAACATTTTATTTGAATAGCACAATCGTTTATAGTCAATGTTGTTATTATATTTTTAATGAAGCATGTTATACATGTCACACGACAATGGACACGATACAAATTTGTGTAAATAGGCTAAGCCACACACGTGAAAGAAGTGGTTTATAATTTGATAATGGAATGGCGTAGCTTTGGCGACGGGATCGTCTACCCTCTGCCGCGGCAAGATGAAGATACGGAGTCGCTGTTGAGTTCGGAGCGATGGGAGCGTTGGGGAGAGCGAGCGCAGCCCTACGACGAGAGGGAGAGTTCGTCGTACGATGAACTATGAGTACACGCCATGCCGGCACCATCGCGTGCTGGCTTGCCCACTTACGTTTGAATCCCACTGGTACAATTATCATTGGGACTACCGGAATCTGACAATGGATGGATTACCTTATACTAATTATATTTACAAATGACCGCAGATCAAGTGTAGTGTCTTCCTCGCACTACACTTGGCCTCGAGTCTTTTGTAGTTCTCTTGCTCCCTTTAAATGAAAGCGAATGACATTGTTTACACCGATTGTATATGTCAATTGCGCATTTACTCGTAATGTGTATTTACTCGTAAACATACAATATGCGCACTTGACCTTAAAAGTACAGGCTGTTAAATAAAAGACTGCAAACCACTACTACAAAATAAATAGTACTTTCTATTCTTGCACACTAGGTTTAGTATTAGACAATAGTGTTGGGAAATGAAAAGGTCTGCAGCGCAACAAAAGCGGTGTGTTTCACATGTATCTGGTATTCTGCTACATTCTGCTATTAAAAAATAGTTTTGTTATCTTCAATTTAACAGCAATAAAGTCACTATCCCTTTTTAAATTCTTTTATTAACTTTTTCACATTCTCTTCTGTTAGCCATACCAAATGAACCCGGTTTACAAACTTTTACGTAACTGTCTGTACGTGGGGTTTAATTTCAGGCTGAACTTCAAGTTGAGTTTCAGCTGATGGATTTAGCAAAATGAGATTCTAGAAAACTGTAGAACAATATTATAAATCCATAAACGAGTACGAGTGCTGAGATGTTTCATTGTTTTAGTAGCGAGCAAGCTTGCGGGTGAGAACGTTGCTGGCTTAGGGCGTTCGCTTCGTAAACTGGTCGATTCAACAAAACAAAACTACGTCCAGCTTAAGTTGATACCCGCGCGCGAGCCCGTAGTGAAGTCCCGCTTCACGCAGCGTACGCCCTTAGAATATTTTTTATGTGAATTTGGTGCTGAGTAGAAACTGACCTACGTCGTCTGTGAAGCTGTAATTAATATGGTGAAGCTGTAATAATGAATGTACCTCGTACCATAGTAATAAGGTCCAATTTGTACAAAAGAAATGTAGGACTTTATGACTTAATATATATAGTACGTTTATTATTGGACAATATTGTAGATGTTCTTTATGTAATTAATTAACCAGGAACTCCGCGAACAATAGCAAAGGCGTGACCGCATCCGTTAGGTCGAATCCTTTAAACTCTTTGAAGTCCAATTGAGGTAGGGGATTGTAAGATCTGTTGCGGTTTTAACCTTGTAATGAATAACTATGTTTTAGTGATTAATGATCGGTTATAACATTGCCCATTATGTAGTTGATAAGTAGTAGCCTCGATTCCTATATATGTAGACTAAACATTCGTGCGACTGCTTCTTTTTATTTCATCAAGAAAAATACAGATCTTTACCTCATTGTAGAGGGGATAGTGAATTGAAGTTTGTAGTGCTCCTTATAAACAAAATTTGAAACAAATTAAGCATCTTGGAATATAGAGGACAACAATTGCTAAGGAGGTCAATTTGACAGCTGTTAACTCAAGTACTAATGGAAAGAGACTAAGAGTCGTATTCTAGAACTCTACTCAATGCTAATGTCAGGATTTGAGTATGGTTTAAAGCACTCGAAATCATACTCAAGTCCCTGCCATTAGGGTCGTATTTCCAGTGCTTGTGTTTCCAGTGCAATCCTGACTTGAGCATTGAGTAGAGTTCTAGAATACGACCCTAAGGCTGATACTTATAAAACAAACTTTTGATTTCGACTTAGCAAAAGTGTCGAGCTAAGCAAGCTTTTCGTATTTTCAAAACGAATTTTGCCTGAGTTAATTAAACGAAACGAAAAAATTAATAGAAACTGAGTTTACTACGTAACTTCTTGCTTAAACTTGGGCAGAGTTCGTTTTGCTTGTTTAGTAGAAGTCAAAGGTAGTTTTATAAATATCAGTCAAAGTTTCGTTTTGGTATACATAGAAATCGACACCGATGGCTTTGTTTACGCAATTAGTTTTTATACAAGTTGCAACTATCTACTTTTTAGAGTTTTTAGCTTATAAGCTTCAAAGTGTAAGAACGTCACCTGTATTTGGTTATAAATTTTGTATTATTCTTCCTATGAAATAGAAATGTAAATTTTATTCTACTACAAGGTTATGCAATGGTTGTAAAAATATGACAAAAGGGAGGTTTGATCTTTAGTGTGACTAGTATTGGTTTAGCTCGGTTTGTTTACAGAAGCGCACTGATGGCCTGGAACGAGTATTTTAAGTTATAAGTCGTACGAATGAAGCCATTGCAGTGGTATTCCATTTAAGCTCAGTGGTTGTGCAACACACACCTGACTGCTAAGCATTTCATTAGGGCTTCCACGTTAAAGTAGGTGCCAATAAAACAATACTAAGCTCGAAAAATCTATTTAACTGATTTTAATGGTGGCAGCTATCTAAAAGAAGCTAATAGCAGTAAAATTTTTGTCCTCTGGGACAGGCTAAGGCGCCTAATTGGCCATACTGCTGGAGCTTACAGTTTCATTTTTCTTTAATCATTTAATTTTACCTTTTTTCTCGAGAATGTATCTAAAATAAGCAAAGTATTTTTTTTTTATTTCTTTTATTCATCACAGAAGAAGAAAGCGCCCGTGGCACATTATATTCTTGACTTTGCCATTTTAAATCTTCTACGAAAAACTGTTTAGTCGATTTATAACAAAGTTCTTATTTAAAAAAAATGCAATTGCAAGGACAATCTAATATTATGGTGTCGATTATTTTAACAGCTCTAAACTAAATGTTCAAAATTGCTCTGAACATAAAATTATTATGTTTTCGCACGAATTTACACGTCACGGTGAATTCGTTATGTTGATCGCTTGATTACCGATTGCAATAGCCAGTTCCATAGTACTATTATGTACACCAGTTGAACAGAAAGTTTTTTTTAGATACTAAATTACGTATATTTGTTTTTTCAAACAAACCAAGGTTTCGGACCCTTTGCAGGTCCTATGATGGTCACGGATGACTGAAAAAACAAATAAAAAAATAGTTTTATTTTCCTATTGCGAAAACCTAAGAACTCGATATTTAAAATAATGATAAGATTAATCAACATAATATTTCGTGTTAGTTGCATTATGACGAAATCAATACAATGGCGACGTTGACGTACACTGTGACTGCAAAAAATTCGCAAATGTACAAATTGTGTTTGACTGTATGTTCTTTGATTGTTGTAGTTCTTCGCACCGATAGTCCGTTCACATCATTGACTTACAAATAAAGTTCACATATAAAACTGTACAAAACTTGGCATTTTTAAGATGTATAGATGACTTGAAGTACAATTTTGACAGGCGCGCTACGTAGAGCTTAACAAAACGAGTGCGAGCCGAAACGAAAAATTATTTACGTAGCGCTGTGTAACACGTACCAGGTTTTACAACTTGAGCAAGTAATTTGCACGTTTGTACTTCTATCTGATCTTGATTAGGGTAAACGGTACCTGTATTATAAACTGGCGACTGTTTTCCCCGAACTGCACATTTTGACGAGCGCCAACGTTTGCGCAAGTTTTTTAGCGGAAGATGAGGCGCCACGACGTGTCACGAATATTATCACTTTATTTTAGAAATTCACCTAAATTTGCAATATAGTGTAAAAGTTATCGTACTAGGCAATAATTTACATGTCGTGCGTGAAGCTGGGAGGCTTTAATAATTTGTCTGAAGCTTTTAGCTAAGTATAAAGGAAATTATGTAAAAAAAACTAGATTTATTATTAAGTACATATCGTAGTGTTATAATCATTTTGTGGTTCAATATCGCATTGGTGCCTTCGTCGTAGTACTCGAAATATGGAAGCTAACCGGAGCTGTATTCCTGGGAGAGGTCTTCAGATACAGATGACTAGCGTGAAGCCTGGCGACGGCTTTATGCCAGTAGTAGTTTATAAAAATCGGAAGTCTTGTACGTAGTATAACAAGACAAGTATGGTAACTCAATACAAACATAGCAGCGGCTTGTATGTGTGCGCGCCCGCTACGTACTGTATACGGACGTACACATTCGCACAATCTCGCGATGCACTCGCGTTGCATAGCGCCGCTGCTCCAGAGCAAAACCTAATAAGGGACAAATATTTTATTTACACATATTTACAATTAGTGGATAATTAACTTTACTCGTACTGAAAATCTTAGTCGTTCTATTAATTTAGTTAGTGAAAATTGAATTTTATTTTAAATTTTCTACGGCATTAACTAAATCACATACCTAGGAAATGCTTATACTGTGTCTCCATTCTGGCTGGCTACAGTAACTTTTGCACGTAAATATTTAAAATTAGTAAGGGTATAAAATATGTAATAATGTATGTGCAAGTTGTAATCATTTTTGTGACATCAATATATTCGTTGATTGGTAGCCTACCTAACACTATTAAGTTTTTACATTAAAAATTTGTGTTTCTGGGCTCTCTTGTAAAATTTTGTCTAAAGCACTTACTAGGTTTTGATATGGGGCAGCCGACTGCTGGTTACGCCTTTCATTATTATTACGCGAATGTGTGCGTCCATACACGGCGCGTATGCAACCCGCGCTAGTTATGAAAGAGACTCAGTCTTTTAAGGCCTTTTAAAAAAACCTCGACTAATTTTTAACGCCTCACGACTATAGTCCATTTGTTTAGGTACTTAACTAAATGTAAACAATCTTGACACATCTTTTTATTGAAACACATGCTTTACAAATCAATAGGTATAAATATAGGCATGCAATTTCATATGAAGCTAAGTATTTGTATTTTGTATTTGAAGGTAAGGGAAAATCATTTTATAAATGTATATTTCATTAAATAGACATCTCAAGATTGTTTACATTTAGTTAAGTACCTAAACAGATGGACTATAGTCTAGTCTTTTAAACCCTCAAGTCTTGAGTCATAAGACAAAAACTGAAGACTAAATCGAGTCGAAGTCTTTTAACCCTAGGAAGCTTAAAATACTTATGGGACTAAAACAACTAAAATGACTGGCGCCTTATAGCCTCGGGAGTCGCGAGTCATGAGCCGTATGGCGTGATATTACTTCTACCCACAAAATATTTATTTTACGATTGATGGGTAACGTTAAAGTAGCTTTGTTCACAGAAGCCAGTTAGTTATAACCAATTCAAGAATTTGTTTTTTGGGAGTTATTTGTTTCTTTAATATAAAAATGAATGGATACAGAACAACAGTCAAAGTATTTTATCAAATTTTAGGGTCGTATTCTAGAACTCTACTTAATGTTCAAGTCAGGATTTGAGTATGGTTTAAAGCACTCGAAATCATACTCAAGTCCCTGCCATTTGGGTTGTATTTCCAGTGCTTGAAATCATACTCAGATCCTGTCTTGAGCATTGAGTAGAGTTCTGTAATACGACCCTTAAAGTCGTATTCTAGAACGCTACTCGATGCTCAAGTCAGAATTGCAATGGA